TATTCATTACAGTAGAGTCTCGCTTATTCGACCTTCTCTTATCTGACTTTCCGTCTTATCCAATGCTCTTATCCAACACCCCACCCCCTTTTCCTCCAGCATTTCCCCTTTAGAGGTCATGTTTGTAGTTTCTTTCTTCCCCATTTTGGCCGGTACTACTATATGGATTCTGAAGGAGGAGCCTGTGAAGTCTTGGCCCTGACTTCTCCTCTGCTTTAGTTCCCCCTGTTTATAGGCCTTCCCAATAGTGTAGAGACCTTCCTTTATGTTAGTTTTTGGTTGGAGCTTAAAATCCCCCCACAGGCTAGTCTTAGTAGATCTATTCCATTTCCCTGTATAGAGCTCCTTGCTGGATTCCTCCCTTTTCTACAGTCACTAGAGGCTTGGGGCATTGTCTAGTAACCATAGACCTAGCAATCCAAAAACAGGTATTCTTAGCACCTGCTGCATTTAGCAGTATTATTATACCAACAAAGGACAACAGAAGCTTTTGGCCAGCCTAAGCTTCACATGAGAGAAGATTAAGACGGTTTGTAAGCAACAACTTATAATCCATCACTTCGTACCAGAGGCAAGAGAGACTTTCAAAGACCCCAGAAAGATGACTGCAATCAGCAAGATCTCCTTTTATAATGTATTGTTTTAAGTTACCTTATGATAGTCCTGGGTGGAGTTAACCCTTATTCATCTTGTTTCAGTAAACACATTTTGGTTATCTTTTCACATTGCCTAAAGTATATCTGTCTGCTAAGGGTCATAATCTTAATAGAAGGTATGAAATAGCCCCCGAGTAAAGTCAGACAATATAGTTTGCCATCACAAAGCCAGAACATAATGGTTCTGCCTCCCCCCCACCCCCACATGCAGCAATGGTTCAGTCTGAGTTGGAAGGTGGGGCTGTGGCTACACAGGAGTTTGTAGGAAATATGGGAATAGAAAAGAAAAGAAAAGAATGAAGGTGAGCAGTTGTCTTGAAGATTTGTGTAAGTGTACTCTACCTTTTCAGTACAATTCCTTGTTTGTTGCCATTTTTTCCGTTAGTGGTGAGTGAGATCTCTCCTTGTGTCTGCAAAACCAAACAGAAGGAGAACTCACTCACCACTTATCTCTGCTAGGATAGAGATATGAACTTCGACTCCTAGAAGCCTCTGTATTACCCGACATTTTCATTTATCCGTCGTCCTGCCAGCCCGTTTATGTCAGGTAAGTGAGACTCTACTGTATATCCATTATTGTCAAGATCCATTGTTCTTTTGTGGGTGTTTCTTTTGTTCATCAATATTGGGCATATATTATTCTGGCCACCATCACTAGATAATGGAATCATCTAGTTTTATTTTTGTCAATTTCTATGCTTATGATTCCCAATAAGAAGTATTCTGGTTTTAGCTGTATTTTTATATCAAATACCAACTGTATTGTTTCTTGGGTTTCTTTCCAAAAAAATTATTAGCTATTTTACAAGTCCACCACATGTGGAAAAAGATTCCTCCTTGAGTTTTGCATTTCCAGCACTTATCTTGCACATTAGAGTAACATTTTGCTAATTTATGTGGTGTTACATACCATCGGAACATCATTTTATATCAATTCTCTTTCAGATCATATTAATAAATGAATTTTAATTTTTGGTTCCACATTTTCCCATTCTTCTAGTTTAATTTTGTGTCCAATATTTGCTGCCCTTTTAATCACACAGTCTTTTATTTATTTTGTTTTTGTTGACCATTGTTATAATGTTTTGTATAGTTTTGTTATTAGTTTTTTGTCTGTCTTCATTATCTTGTCCCAAAAAGTGTCTTTCTCTGAGAAGCCTATTGTCTTATCTTTGTTGTAATACTCTTTTATTTGTCTTTATTGGAACCAAGAAATATTCTTGTCCATTTTATTGATTTCTTCTTGTGTTTTTAAAATAAGGTTTCCATTTTGTTTTTTCAGTATATCACTCAAAAAATGAAGTTATAATTTGCAAATCTAAATGCAGAAGCCCTGTAATATTACAGCTTCAGTGTTCTTTGGCAGGCCCTGTCTACACTGTCATATAATGCAGTTTCAGAAATCAGTTTAACAGCATTGAATGGCATAATGTGGCAGCATAGACTCATATAATCCAGTACAATGCAGTTAAACCACAATCTGAAACTGCATTATGTGGCAGTGTAGATGGGACCTCAGCTCACATTTTAGTCATGCATGCGCAAGTGTATCCAAATTGATTTGCATTTACATATTAGCTGCAGTGGTTGTTTATGCAAGAAGAAGCGAGGTTTTTCATATACTGATCATCACATGGTATAGAGCAGAGTTTTTTAAACTGTGCTACTCCAGATGTTTTGAACTTCAGCTCCCACAATTCCTAACAGCTGATAAACTAGCTGGGATTTCTGGGAGCTGAAGTCCAAAACACCTGAAGGAGCAAAGTTTGAGAAACACTAGTATAGAGACATGCTAGTTCCAATGTAAGGAGTATTTAGTCTGCCCTCTGTAGGTACGTCATGTGATTTGTGCAGATCAGTTACATGCTCTTCGGCTGGTTAAGAGGAATAACAAAAATATTCCTCAAATCCATGTTGAAATGAAGAAATGTTTGTGTGGAAGGACTAAGAGCTCCATTCAAGTCTTTCTGCAACTCAAAGCAATGTCCAAAATGTCAAAAACCTGGTCTTACAATTCTTACAATTGTAAATACACTTGACTGTAAATACACTAGCTGAATCTTGAATCTTGAATCTTGAAGCAGATAGGTATATTTAATTATTTTACTTTTATCTTGCCTTTCTGTTAACATAGAGCCCTAATATGACTCAAACCAGTTTATAAAAAACAGACATGTAGATGGCTTTCCTAGAAAGCAATGTTGTGTAATCTTTTCATCTCAAGTTGAACCTTTATTTTTGGTACATCCTTAAGAAAGGTTTCTGTGTTATTACAGTAACTTTTTCAGAAGAGCATACAGAGAAAGGCATGTGCAGAGTTAGCATTTAATAACACAAGCCCATCTCCTCATGCCACATTTCATTGAATGAATGCCTGATCATTAATTGCAGTTGTGGCTCCCATATCACCAAGTTGGTGAATCTGTTCCAGATCAACATGGGAAGTAGGCATCGGCACCTTGGAGAGCTCCTTTAAAGTTTATTGTGAAACCTGGGGTGAGAAGGAAGCTGTCAATCACCAGTATTGATCAGTATATGCTTGGGATTTCCCTTATGTGTTAAATTAAACATCAAGCCTCTTATCCATTAACTATCTAGCTATTCAATTTATAGTCTACTTTTCTCCTGAAATGGGGCCCAAGCCAGCTTACAAACTGTTAAGAATTTTTTTAATAAAAAAACTTATTTTATAAAAGTTTTTTTAAAATTCCATTAAAGACAGGTGATTAAAATAATTTAAAATAGAATTAAAACATAGTTTTAAGAAATACAAAGAAGAAAATAGCATACTACTTTCAAACATCATAGCTCCATATGATTTATTTTGAAGAAACTCAACTTCTGTCCTCAGGCTTCTTCTCAGAATATAACAACTGTTAGAAATAATTTATGATCTGATAAAAAGATCCCCAAAATCCTATCTATTATCCCATCCAGGATCTGAAAGTGTTGTGCTATCAGTTTGCTCATGACACTCAACTTTACATCTGAGTAAACAAAATGGCTATAGTAGAACTGATGTGTTGAGGTGTCTGTATTTGGTAATGGAATAAGTAAGAACCAATTAAGGAGCTAAAGTTCAGTCCCAGAAGGGGATTTGTCAGATATTTCTCAGAGAATTATGATTCACTTAAAGTATTTTATAACTGTCTTTCCTCATTGCAGATATCAGGGTGGTCATATGAATTTAGAACACATAAGTAAAAGGTAAAACAAATTCCTCGTAATCAAAAAGAAGCTGATGGATAGATAAAGTACCAAAGAAGACTGACCAAGGTAGCCTCCCAAAAATGCTTGGGAATATACTATAAAGAAGCTTTAACTAGGGATCAAAAAGATAGCAAATTTGACACCAGTTTTGTGGGTAAAGTTCCATAATCATTGAGAAGATCCTTTCCTAATTATCCATGAAATAAATTGCAATAGGAGAAGAGATGCTTCCTGGAGCTCTGAAGAGGCTGGAATACTGGTTTAGGAGAGGGCCACTTCTTCAAGTGTTTGGGACTCAGGTTGTTTAGAGCAGTGGTTCTCAACTTGTGGGTCTTTAGATTTGTCCTTGAGCTCTCAGAAGTCCTAAGAGCTGGTAAACTGGCTGGAATTTCTGGGTGTTGTAGGCCAAAACACCTGGGAACTCACATGTTAAGAACCACTGGTTTAAAGCATCAGGATCCCAGATTGGGTTTGGAGCTGAACCAGAACCCAATGCATCCCCTTCAGAATGAACGCAATATGATTCCATACTTCTATGCTAGATAATAATTCAGACAGCTTTCTGTCTAGTGTGTTATGCATATAATATTGTCATAGTGCTTGTTCCCACTACTGTTCTTAGTATCTCTAGCAGGAACGTGTGATGTAATGCAGCAAGTGTTCTTAAAAGCATGGTGCTTAACTGAAGTGCAGGGTTCAAAGTTCTCCTTGACATGAAGATTCTGACTTAAAGCAGTTGACTGCATGAGATCACATGCCTACAAAGTGATTCTTTGGCCATGTGCACACACACTGGCTGCCCATTTCACTGTTTTGGCCTTCACAGTTTTCTGAGTAGCAAATGTTGGCTTCATGCTCCATTCACTTGGAGATGTTTGTATTGCACAGTTCGTAACCCAGGACCCTGGTGTAATTTCACACCCTTTTGTAATAAAGTCTTCTGAGCCTGTTGTGTCTTTCCCCTGTTATCCTTCTCTGCTTGAGCCTTGCATATAATTGATGATGCTTTAGTTAATCATCTTCCCCTTTCTTTTGTTCACCAGGTATCTCACCCTGGAGGGGATCCTTTTCCTTTGAGCTTTGTGCCTTCTCCTAGGTAACTGATCACTCAGAAGTTCCTCTCCTTTCCCTCAGATTCAAAATAGAATGGGAGCAAGCATCATGAATAATCAAAACACAGTGGCCAGTCTGTTGCAAGAATGTAAACAAATGCTGGACCAGTTATCACCAGAATTGGACCAGTTGAACCGAGACAAGAACGAACATCCGCAGTACAGAGGTGAGATACTAGTGACAAGTAACGGGTGCGAGATAGCCAACTGGTCGACCATCCGCATCCTGTCCTATTTCCCCATCTCCTAGCAGATAAATGTCAAAAGATTACTGGATTTCTAGGACATGAATGGGATGTGAGTTAGAAGGGAGGCAGGGAAGGAAACCTACTTTGTACCAGCGAACTGCTGTCAGTTCACATTTTAAGCTTCAGTAAACATGAGGCAGTAAGGAGCGGTTTCCGTTTGAGAGGAACAATGCTCCCAAAGTTTGGTGATGCACATACATTTCAATTATAAAAAGAAAAAAATTAATGCAACTTCTGAATGCCGGCTGTTATTTGCCTTCCTTTCACTGGAAGCCTGCCCTCGTCACTATGGTGTTTGACGGTTTCTCTAAACACAAGGTATTCATTTGTATTCTGCATCTTTTAATGTTGTCATCACCTAGAAAAGTGGTTTTGAAAAAGCAACTAGCGGAGGGTGCTTGTTAGAGGAAAATTTAATGGCATTTCAGATCCTGAACAAAAGCACGCAGATGCTGTAACACAGTGTGATTTGTGAGTTTTTATTTAATGATATGAAAAGACATACTATTTATTTAAATAGAAGCATTAATTTATTATAACATGTGATCAAGCAGGCTGTAATCTATAACCGTTAATGACATTATCCATTCATTAGTCCTTACGGTACTACAAAACCAGCCCCCTGATTTGTCTAGAATGTATTGTCAAATAAAACAGGCATTAAGCTTAGAGTGGCCCTCCTTATAATGTTTGGCTGCAATTTCTAGCATTTCTACCATTAACTATATTGATTAGGGCTGATGGGAACCACAGTCCTTCAATATATGATGTCCCCAACTTTTCCCACCCCTGACATATTGTAAATATACCCTTAAAGTAAAGGTAAAGGTTTCCCCTTGACATTAAGTCGTGTCCGACTCTGGGAGGTGGTGCTCATCTCCATTTCTAAATCAAAGAGCCAGTGTTGTCCATAGATGCCTCCAAGATCATGTGGCCAGCATGACTGCATGGAGTGCTGTTACCTTCCCGACAAAGCAGTACCTATTGATCTACTCACATTTACGTTTTCGAACTGCTAGGTTCACAGAAGCTGGGGCTAACAGCTCATACTGAATATTTTATAGCATGAGGCCATGTATAGCAGCCCTTTGTTTCCACGAGTTCTGTATCCATGAATTCAACCAATTATGTCTCAAAATATATATCCAAAAAAACATTTCAAAAACAAATATTGATTTTGTCATACACCAAGTACTAAGCTGATATATGTATACTCTGCTATAGCCTCTCACTGTTTCACAACTCTTCAGACTCTCTCGAGCATTCATTTTATATAAGAGATGCCATTTTAGTGTGTTAGTGTATAGAATAGGTCTTGGACATTCATAGATTTTGATATCTATGTAGGTATCCTGGAACCAAACCCCCAGGAATACCATGGACACACTGTATGTCCAACCCAGGGATAAGCCCCACTCAGTTAAATGAAGGTATATGTGCAGAGAGATTTGATTTTACTATTCTATAAGAAGCCTTCCAGGTTTAGACGATGCATAATTTTATATAGTCAAAGTTGAAATTTAGATACTTATTAAGTTATCAAGACTGAAATTGTTTCTACCAGCTGTGTGTTCTTCTGTCTTTTCACTGCCATGGAGGACAGTTCTTTTTAAAGCAAATTATTATATATTAGTTTGATCTGAATTTTGTTGGTGTGTTTGTTAAAAGACGCCAGCCAAGAAGCCCTGACACACAAATTAAATTCTTATTTCTGGGATGTGTGACTCTTCCTTTTTAGTTTCAATATCAATTGCTCCTGTGCAGAAACCTATCATAGCCACATTGAAAAAAATGAAATCTGCCTCATTTCTGGTTTTTGCAGCAATTTTATTTATTACGGCTTTATCTATGACTGTTGCTATCTCTAGAGCTTTGCCTTTTTGGGAATATAGTTTACAAGTAAGGGTGGCTGCATGTCTTCTTTGGGGTTCCTTTCATTTCCTCTCACAAAAGGCACTTTTGTTTCCTCATCACAAATTCCTTTCAGCTTTATTATCTTTAGAATGGGCTATTGAACTACTAATCAGGTACTTCTTTCTTCTGCTGCTACTCGCAGTCTCCTATTAAGTTCTGCAGAGCATGATAAATAATCAGTTTAGTTCCAGATAAGGTGCATCAGTGCCCTTATAATCACTACATTAGACATGGCCCTTCAGGTAAACTTTTTTAGGAAGCAAAGCAGCAGCAGCTCAGTTTCCCTTGGGTCTGTTCTCCTTGGCTAATTACAGAGAGAAAATATATCAACTTTGAAGGAAATAAACAAGAATAATGTCAGAGCAGGTTGGATTCAACTTTTTATTTAAAATGGGACTACTAGAATTATCAAATAAAGACTAATTTAATTCCCATTGATTTCCATAGGCATGTTTTAAGTATGTCTGGGTGGGTGGATGAGACAGAGAGAGAATGAGGATTATTATTGTACTGGATTATTTCATTGAAGGTAATTTAGATGTGCAGATGTATTTTATCCAGCCTGCTGTGAATGTCCACTTAAAAGCCCACAGTGATCACACACTTCAAATACAGCAACAATACAACATCCTGGTTTCAACTAATTGAAGTGTCTGAACTGTGTTGAATCCCATTACTCTCTGAAATAAAACTATTTTCTACTAAAGATAGAGATGAATCTTGGAAATAAGAAGAGGAGACCTGAAGTGTTAAAGTGCTATCCAAGGTGCTGTATGTATCTCAGCAGTATGGACTCTATCTCAATATGAACTTCCCCAATTTATCAATCTCAGACCATTTAGGAGCTAAAGTCAGCTCCTGCTGCCATTTCCCTTAAGCAGCATCTGGTGGCATGGCAGAGTTCAAATTAAACATTTCACTTTGGCTGTACCAACCATTCTTCACTCTTTCATTATCCTTCCATCATTTCCTGAAATTCTATAGTGTTCCTACTAATTCTCAGAAAAAACCTAAGCTTTCCCCAAAAATTTTCAACCGAAGGCTTGGAAAGACTTAGTCAATCCTGAAACAGGTTCATTACCCCTGTCTCATATTAATACTTGGAGCCCCCAATGATGCAATGAGTTAAACCCTTGTGCCGGCAGGACTGATGACCGACAGCTCAGCAGTTTGAATCTGGGGAGAGTGGGTTGAGCTCCCTCTGTCAGCTCCTCATGCAGGGACATGAGAGAAGCCTCCCACAAGGATTGTAAAACATCAAACATATCCGGGGTTCCTGGGCAACATCCTTGCAGACGGCCAATTCTCTCACAACAGAAGTGACTTGCAGTTCTCAAGTTGCTCCTGACATGAAAAAAATAACTTGCTACAGTTGGTTGCACAGTATATGTATATATGGCTCAGCTATAGAGCTTCTTGGGTTATTGCTACTTGCCAATACAAATTTTCCTCCTAGGAGACAGAACAACCTCTAGCCCTTCTCCTAGCACTCTTGCAGGGGATCCCTTGAACTCTGACAGAGTTCCCATCCCACCCTTTCCCTCAACACAAATGGAAATCTGCTAGGTGCTAGTCTAATCCAGCCCACTGCAACCCTTAAAATGTTGCTCATGATGTCTTGCATTAATGGGCAGATAAAATAAATTGAAGTGTTTATGTGCCAGTAGTACTTTTGGAAGAAAGCATCCAGGTATCGGTTTGTTAGACTGTCATCCACCAATGCAAACACTTGAGAAGGTTACTTTTTGGTCTGCAGTTCCCCAGCCTGCATATGTAGGGCGGAAGAGGTAAGGTCTGTTCAAACCACACTGCCATTTTCACTACCTGGAATGCTATTCTTCTGTTCACTCTCTCCTTTTTTTCACTTGTAACTGAAAAGCAATCCTTTTCCTTTGCTTCCCAACATCCCTCAACTTCATGGCAGACAGCTCCAGTTTACCTTCAGGGTAGAGTGCTGGAGGTCACGTAATGATAGGCAACCTTTCATTGCCAGTTTGCTACTGGAAAAAGTGACAATTTGTAGCTGTTGAAGAGCAAAATGGAGAAGGGAATTGCTTTCAGCAAGTTAGCTGCCACCCTGAATCACTTACCTGTCCTTTGACCTTTCCAGCTTTGCTCCCTGATGACTTATGGACCCTCATCGAAGAGGCAAAGGAAATGAAATGGCCCTTCGTGCCAGAAAGGTGGCAATATAAACAAGCCGTAGGCACTGAAGACAAAACAAACCTGCAAGATATAATCAATGCAAGACTGCATGACTTACTGGTATGAAGCATAAGGCACCTGTCCTTGAAACTTGTGTTTTCCATATTTAACACTGAAATGTATAGCGATTTAACAATAATCATGTCCTGTTAAAAAGGTGACTCCTTACTCAGTTCCCATTTACAACAATGGCAGATTTAATTCTTATTGTTGTGGATAGAGTTGGAATCCGTGACTTGATTTGGCTCATGTATTACAAGATGAGGACTCTGACTGAGAATGCAATGTGTTTTCTAATACATACACAAAACTCCTGCTCAAAGCAACTCCTTTTAAAAATCCAGTCACTTACAAGCTCCTTCTGAAACATGCAAAAAGGTTCATTAAGTTGGTTCTAAATCAGATCTAAAGTCTTTCCATTCATGTCCTGTCTGAATTAACCCTTTGTTTTGTCCTCAGCTAGTCCTTGTTGACAGTAAGCACTGGTTTACTACTAAAGCATCTTTCTTGAGGTGAGATGGAAAGGAAATATAATGAAGGGTGTCACTAGCATGCTGGAGATATTGAATCCCAAACCTCTGAATAACATTTTCATGTAGACATTGAATAGTGTGGAATTAGTCCCAAAGCCTGAGATATACCACAGGCCAGTGGCCATGATGTTGAACAAGACTAACTAAATAATAGAATCATAGAATCAAATTCTTAGTTCTCTCTTCCAATAAGGAGAAGAACTGCAAAACAGTGCCGCCAGTCCTCATTCCAAGGAGGCAGTCTAAAAGGAGACCCCGGTTAATGGATTTAAATGAGGAGTCCAGCAGAATCCCCTTGTTTCCCACACTGTGCTTATAATATAATATAATATAATATAATATAATATAATATAATATAATATAATATAATATAATATAATATAACATAACATAACATAACATAATATATTGTATATACATATAATATTGATAATGTAATATAATATTGATAATGTAATACAATATAATAATAATAATATTATAGTATAATGGTATAGTACAATATAGTAATACATAATACTATTGCTGTGCTATAGTAATAATATAATATATTGTATTTACATATTACTTGTAAGCTGCTCTGAGTCCCCTTCAGGGTGAGAAGGGTGGCATATAAATGTTATAAATCAATCAATCAATCAACAGAGAAGCGTCCCCTGTCCAACTCCTATCATAGATTATCAACCAAACCAACCAAAGCTGTCTTTGTCCCACCGGTAGCCTGAAGCCAAATTGAAATGGATTTAGTTACTCTCATGGTTACAGCCATCTTCCATTAATCCAATTTGCCATGAGGGCAATTATACTGGGTGAGGATCTGAATCAAGGATAGGCAGTTTAAATCTCTCTGGGAGACCTCCCTATCACATTATTCAATTATATCACAATATTTTGCTTATCCAGACCCCCTGGTGGTGCAGCGGGTTAAACTGCTGAGCTGCTGAACTCAGTGACAGAAAAGTTGTCAATTCGAATCTGGAGAGCGTGGAGAGCTCCCACTATTAGGACCAGCTTCTGCCAACCTAGCAGTTCGAAAAGATGCAAATGTGAGTAGATCAATAGGTACCGCTTCTGCGGGAAGGTAACAGTGCTCCATACAATCATGCTGGCCACATGGCCTTGGAGGTGTCTACGGACAATGCCAGCTCTTCGGCTTAGAAATTAAGAGAGCACCACCCCAGAGTTGGACATGACTAGACTTAATGTCAGGAGAAACCTTTACTTAACTTATTCTGTGTTAAATATTATGGCAACATATGTACATTAGAATCCAGGGTTTTACAGTTGGGTGACGCGTTAGACCTTTTTGGCTGAGAATTCAAAATGTCCTTTCCTAAACTGCAAATCCCATAGGCGCTCAAAATGAAATGATAGTGCTGTAACAAGAGTGACACTTCAATTTTTAAATAGCTGCCCCATGCAGTGTTCAACATAAAAAACAACTATTTTTCAGAAGTGGAACTTTTGGTTTGGGGCTTTTTATTTTAGGTGAAAATTTTGTCAGGTTCTGGAGGATACCATCAGTAGAAATTTGGTCCCCTGATCTAAATCTGCCTGTTACCCTACAGACATGGCTCAAAATACAATAAGTCCCTTACATGCCTTGACCAAGTGGGAGGGTTCTGTTGTTCTCTTACAAATTCCCAGTGCTAAATAGTGGTGTGTGGTTTTTTAAAATTGTGATTTTGAATTTGTTTTGGTTATTTTCTTCCTCCTCCCCCTTTTTTCTTTTCCTTTCCTTTTTGTGTGTGGCCTCAGACAGAAATTTATGGTGGAGGCTGACCCCTTTGACAAGACCCACAAAGACCTCAAACTCAAGAGCATTTGTCTGTTTCTCTCCCAGGATAAACACCTGCAGTAAACTCCCCAAGAAACCTGGATATATGGGAGATTAATGTGTCTGTAATAGTGGAGCAGTGTTTGCACGCATTATGCTCTCACCCCAGGTAGATGGGCTTTTTCTGAAATGATACCAATTATTTATTGCCGAAACATCTGTTGATAACTGCAGCTGCCCCAGCGAAACAAAGCATATCATGGGGTCACAGACTATAGGGCCCAACAAATACAATTCTACCTCATGCTAGTTTGAAACTATTCACCAACGTGCCACAAAGTCCGTGAGGTTACCGTCACCTCCAGTGTAAAAAATACTTTCTAAGTACTGTGCTCCTTTCCCTGCTTGCTTTGAAGTATTATTTTTGCTGGTAATTTATATTCCAGTGCTTTTGTACTGTGTGAGAAAAGGGATGCATTTTTTTGTTTTCTATTTAATTGTAGATTGATTGACATTTTGACCCATGCTATTAGAATTCGCCAAGAAAGGGACATTACCATCCTTTGCTCTTTCTTTTCTTCTATTCTGTCTTCTCTGTTTCAAAAAATAAAAAAAAATTGAGGCATAATAAAAGTTTCTTTGAGACTTTAAGATAGTGAAAGATGAGGGAGCAGGGAATTATACTGGTGGGGGCAATCAAGTTTACAGTTTGTTGGCGAAGAATAAAACTCTGAGCCTTTTCATATGATCTAGAAGGAATTATTTTAATTCCTTCTGAAAGAGAAATAAGCCTTTGTCTATATTGTTAGGCAAAAAAACTTTTAACATGTTTCATCTCAGTTTATTCTAAAGTGGCAAGTTTAGAATTAGCTCTCCAGTGGAATAAACCAGTGTTTGTAAAGTGCTTTGGGATCCTTGAATGAAGTGTTTATTATTCTGGAAGGTCAGTTTTTGTGGTCCTTATTCACAGTGGGCAGCATCTTACTTCTCGAGTAGCTTCACTGATCTCAGAGTGTCTCTGTGAGAGCACTTACGTCTCCAGTCTGAAAGTCTGACTTAGCCTTGCATTGTTACAAGCAGTGCTTTGTTTGCAGACCATTGCTCTGTTGAGTATGCAAAACAACCAAGGCTGCTTACATCATCCTTTTAAACACTTCAGCCTGGCATTGGCTGCAGAATCCTATTGTGCAAAACAACTAGAAAAGAGGAATCACATAAAAAATAGTGGGGTTGGGAGCAGGAAAAAAGTCTTGCATCTATTAAATGTACGGAGAAACTCAGTAGTTGTACATCATAACAAAATATGCATCCTCTTCTTTCTGATTTCCCTTAGAGAATTCCTGTATAAGGATTTCCAGAGAGGAAGTATATTTGCATCAACAACACAAATATTCCTAAATTCTGTTAGGATGAAGTTCTGATCACCTATCACCTGTATATTTCATGTGCTGTGTTAGATCTCTTCCAAATACTGCTTTTATGTGCATACACATAAAATTATGTACATACACATCATTTTCTTTTTGTCTTTCTGTGTTAGGGTGAATCATAGAATCATAAATTTGGAGGAGACCTCATGGGCTATTCAGTCCAACCCCCTGCCAAGAATCAGAAAAATCGCATTCAAAGCACACACACCCGCCCCCCACAGATGGCCATCCAGCCTCTGTTTAAAAGCCTCCAAAAAGGAGCCTCCACCACACTCTGGGGCAGAGAGTTCCACTGCTGAACAGCTTTAACAGTTAGGAAGGTCTTCCTAATGTTCAGGTGGACTCTCTTTTCCTGTAGTTTGAAACCATTGTTTCTTGTCCTAGTCTACAGGGCAGCAAAAAAAACAAGCTTGCTACCTCCTCCCTATGACTTCCCCTCACATATTTAGACATGCTCATTATGTCTCCTCTCGGCATTCTCTTCTTCAGGCTAAACATGCCCAGCTCTTTAAGCCACTCCTCATTGGCCTTGTTCTCTGGACCCTTGATCATTTTAGTCACCCTCCTCTGGATACATCTCCCTTCAGCTGAGGTGCCCAAAACTGGACACAGATGTGGTCTGACCAAGGCAGAATAGAGGAGTAGCATGACTTCCCTGGATCTAGACACTATACTCCTATTTATGAAGGCCAATACCCCATTGGCTTTTTTAGCTGTCACATGACATTGTTGGCTCATGTTTAACTTGCTATCCATGAGGACTCCAAGATCTTTTTCACACATACTACTATCAAGCCAAGCATTCTATGTCTTTGAATTTCATTTTTTTCTGCCTAAATGGAATATCTTGCATTTGTCTTTGTTGAACTTCATTTTGCTAGCTTTGGCCTATCTCTCTAATCTGTCAAGATTGTTTTGAATTCTGCTCCTAATCTTCTGAAGTATTGGCTATCCCTCCAAATTTGGTGTTGTCTGAAGTGCTTAAAGTAGTTTATTCATTGAAAGTAAAAACTGTGCACATTGTTGTTGTGTGCCTTCAAGTTTTCTGGTTTATAGTGATACAAAGATGATCCTTCCACAGAAAATTTGGTCCAGAGAGAATTTTCTTCTATTTTTTTCTGACGCTGAGAGAGAGTGCAACTTGCCCAGTGGGTTTTCATAGCTGAGGAGCTATGCAGACCCTGGTCTACACCACTTGTGACACTTAGTTCAACTGTTTTCATGAAGTCAAGGCCAGGTTCTGCCGGAAGAGGTTTTCTCTTAGTCTCTAGAACTGAACAAAATATGGCCTGTGATTATTTAGAAGGAAAAGTGCTCAGA